GGAAAAGGAGAGAAAAATTGTTCTTTTTGTTTGGTTCTAAGGCAAGACCTATAGCAAAAGATGGTCTTTTAAATGAAGTTGCAAAACTGAAAGGATATAAAACCAGGCCAGCCATTTTGCCCACGTTATGGCCTACTCATATAATTAAGGCAAGGAAATTCAAGAAGAGCAGAGATATGAACACAGATTTCTGATGACAAAATATGAACTCTGGAATCCAACCATGTCAAAATGACCTCTGTCCTAGATTTCCCAGTTATATGAACCAATAAATTTCCTTATGACTTAAGCTATTTTGAGTTAGGGTTCTGTTACCTGTAGCAGTAAGAGTCCTGAATAATATAATGTCACAAATACTTTTACTTATGTATACATTTAATGACATTTGGAAGCCTCTATCTTGTCACTTTGAACTCTGTGGAATCACTATTTTCAGGAAAACCAGTAAATAGCTCTGCTCCTCATGTCTTATATCCATTGGTTAAATCTTATCCTAAACCTGTCTTTTTGGGGGGTTATATTAAAGAATTTATAATTTTTAAATCTTACTTTATTCTGAGGTACAATACAGAAAAATTCATAGAAGTTAATGTGCACCTTAATGAATAATTGGCTATAAAGTAAAACAAATAATTATAAAGGACTCATGTAACCACCACCCAAGTTAAGAGAATACTGTCAATATCCCTGAAGACCCCTATGTGTCCTGTTTCAGTCATGATCTCCAATTTCTTCCCAGAGAAATCACTATCCTGACTTCAACAGTAATCATTTCATTGGTGTTCTTTATAGTTTTTCCCCTAAAAATAAAGTTTAGTTTTGCCTGTTATTGAGCTTTATACCAAATGGAATCAAACCAAATGTAATCTTGTACTTTGCTTTTTTTACTAAACCTTATGTTTACATGAGTCACTCATATTAAACTATGTAGTGTAAAACATTCATTTCATTGCTGTATAGCGCTCTACCATATATTCATATTTTAATGTCTAATTACAATTCTACTATCAGACATTCTAAGAGTAGATATATGAGTTGTTTCAATGCTTTGACTATTATAAACACTCACCCTAGGACAATCCTAATATATGTATTTTAGGGTACATGTGCAAAATTTGACTGAAGTAATATATCTAAAAATATAATTGCTGGGTATGCATATCTTTATTAGATAAAGCCAAACTGGTTTCCAAAGTAGTGCCTAGTCAATTTTTTAAAAATTCAGTAGTTTTAAACATTCTGGATTATTCAAACAAAATCCTTTCTGCAGGTGAAAAGCTTCTCTACATGCCGAAATTAGTATACATACAGTAATTTAACCCAAAAAATGAGCATGATTTTCTAAGGTCTAAAAAAGTACATGTTCAATAAAAAAAATTTTAACTACTTAACAATAAATATGGTAGAAAAATATGTTGGGCTAAAAATTATCTAAGATATTTTATATAATTTTTAGAATCAATGATATAAATATATAATAGGGCACTATTTATAATACCTCCAATTAAGCAAAGATTAATATTATAATAATGATATTAAGAATTATTATCACATATTTAATTTGAAAGGCAGGTGAACATTATAATGGCCACAAGCTGTGCTATAACATTATTCTCCAACTGTTAATAATAAATTTCTCATAATTTCATAAACAGATATATTAGTATCTACTGTGATAAAATCTAATTCTTCTACTGCTTAAACTACTACATGTTACAAAGCTATTGTCAAAGCATCTGGAAATTTCCAAGCACAAGGAGAGGCTAATTATTTCTTAAAACTACTCAGACATGGAATAATTTTAAAATTCAAAACTTTGTTTTTGAACATACTTTCATTTTTGGTTTTTCTTTTCTCTTAGGCAATAAATGTAAAATATAAATGACCATGGGTGAGAAAAGGACACCATCACAGAAAGAAGCAGGCTCTGACAATGATTAATACGGAGCTGCCAAGGAATGTCTGGCAGCAAAAAAGAAGCAATACCTTATGTAACTGATAAAAAAATGGTCAGTAAGACCCTAATAACACATCTCCCTGGAACCTGAGATAGTGTATTTGATTAATGGTTTAAGCCAGTCTGTATTTTTCTACCTGTTTAAACTATGGAGGCAAAAATATGGGGAAAAATTACAGTTAATTTCTGTTATTCAAAGTGGTTAATATTTAGGTTGGTCAGTTAATGGAATATGCTGATTAACAGACTTATCACACATACTGCCAATCAAAAATCAGAATATGTTTTTCATTAACACTATGTTGAATATCAGTTAATCTTTCCTCAAGGATTCTGTAAACATTCCCATAATTTATTTTTATAAGTCATGGCAATAACTGCATAATTCTATTAATGTAGAAAGTGTGAGAAACTTGGGCCAGCCCTGTAGCGCACTCGGTAGAGTGCGGCGCTTGGGAGTGCAGCGGCGCTCCCGCCGAGGGTTCGGATCCCATATAGAGACCAGTCGGCTCACTGGTTGAGCGCGGTGCAGGCGCGACACCAAGGGTTGCGATCCCATTACCGGTCACGAAAAAAAAAAAAGACAAAAAGGAAAAAAAAAAAAAAAAAAAAAAGAAAGTGTGAGAAACT